CACGCCCCCCTCCCCGCCCTGCAGCCCTCTTAAGGCTAGCACTGGCTCAGGAGGGCTCATATGTCCCCCAGGCGCAACCCCCACCTCGATGCCTCCTGTCCCGGGCTTCCCTGTCTTCCCAGCCCCTGTTCTGCACAGCTGGCCTGAGGGGCCACCTCTGAATCACACAGCCACATGCCTCCTGCTGGTGCCGCCCGAGGCTGTCAAAGAACAGGCGCCAGGGCCCAGGCCAGGCCCCGCCGGTGCAGGGAGGGCTGCAAGACCTCAACCAACAACGTTCAACAACTCTGGCTCTGTTTTGGCAAGACCAGACGGTTCCGCCTGGTGGGAGAGGGCTGAGGTAATGAGGCCCTCAGCTGGGGCTCCAGCCCGCTCCAGAGCTGGAGCCGTGGCCCAGGAGCTCCAACCTGCTCGGCAGACAGCCCGCAAGCAGGGCTTTTCCACGGCAGAGGAAGGGGGTGGGCTGGGAACCGTTCCCTCTCAGTCAAGTTGTGGAGCAGTGGGGCTGGAGATGCGCCAAGCTCATTCCTCTCTCTCACATGCTCATCCAACCACACTGCTGCGCCCTGCTACACGCCACGTCTACACTGCTACAGGGCCCCCGCCAGCAGTGCAGAGGGCCCGATAAGCCCCATGTGCAAGGAGACCCCACGAGGAAAGTCACACTCATCCGCCCTTCAGCACCCATCGCGTTGTCTAGCCCTTCACACACAGTGTTGCCTCAGGCATGGCCCAGCCTTGAGGAGATCCCCCCAGAGGTGCCTCTAACCCCGAACCCCGGAGGGCCTCCCTGTCTTGTTTCTGGCAGAACAGCATCTACTCTGCCTCCAGCACATCCAAGTTCCTCAAGGGTTCCCTGCCTCTCCCATGTGCCTGACGGTGTCCTACAGAGACCCTGCACAGAGGGACAGGCATGTGGGGCTCTACTGTAAGCCTCCAAGTATCCTGTGGCAGGGGCATCACGGCAGCCAGCACTGGCTGGACCAGGAGGACATGCCCAAAGACCATCTGTTACACGAAAAGGCACGAATGGAAATCAGTCTACAAACAGCAAGCACCTCCTCTGGGCCAGGCAAAGACAGCTAGGGACTCAAAGAGGAACACGGCACAAAGACATGGACAGGAAAGCCTACCACAGCCTGCCTGGGAGCCCAGAGACCGGCCCCACGTATGTGCCCACTCAAGGAGACTGTGGCCCTCACATGACACAATACTGGGTGGCAGCTCCAAATGTGAGATGGCCTATGCTCCTCACAGGGAAACTTCTGTAAGACTTAGCATCAGCAAAAAACCCAAAGTTGCTGAAAAGCATGTGTGCACGTACACACGCACACACAATTTTCTCAAGCTGCATGACAAACTTGTCTGATTTTGCACACACACCCCTGAAAAAAGAGAACAACCCAACCATGCAACAGAAGCACCTCTGAGAAGGCCACCTGTTCCATTGTGTGTCTGGACTGTTTGCAGTGACAATGTGGTCCCATGTGACTCACACAATTTTCAGAAATTGTCATTAAAAAATAACGGGAGGTTTAAAAAAAAAACAACAAAATGGGACATCTGAGTGGCTCAGTTGGTTGAGCATCCATCTTCGGCTGGGGTCACGATCTTCGGGTCTGTGAGTTCAAGCCCCGCATCAGGCTCTCTGCTGTGAGCTCAGGGCCTGCTGCAGATCCTCTGTCCCTCTCTGACCCTCCCTGGCTTGTGCACTCACTCTC